CACTAGGTCTATGGACCCCAGCTGCTAAGGGGGCGGGGCAGTAGAAGAGGGGAGGAGGTGGACGAGGAGGAGAGTGCAAGGAGCAAGTGCTGGGCTCTTCTTAGCAGCTGAGGACAGATTCGTCTGGTCCTTGCTGGACCCCACCCTCCCTGGAAAGTGAACTTGGGTGGGGTCAGGCTGTTGGGTAGGACCATGGTTGGGGTGGGGGATGGCCCCTAGCCTGCCGCCTTTCCCTGCAGGCCTATGAGGGGGTGCTGCAGCTGGTGGAGGCCCGCGGGCGCTATGAAGAGCTGTGCATTGTCATGTGTGTCATCCCTGCCACCATCAGCAACAATGTGCCAGGCACCGATTTTAGCTTGGGCTCAGATACGGCAGTCAATGCTGCTATGGAGGTATGGGCAGGGCATGGGGTCCTGATGCATCTCTAACAGAATGGTGGGGACCCAAGGTGTAGCCCTGTGTCCACCCACTGGTCCCTGTGACCCCCAGAGCTGTGACCGCATCAAGCAATCAGCCTCAGGGACCAAGCGCCGTGTGTTCATCGTGGAGACCATGGGGGGATACTGCGGCTACCTGGCCACTGTGACTGGCATTGCTGTGGGCGCAGATGCTGCCTATGTCTTTGAGGATCCTTTCAACATCCATGACCTTGAGGTGTGGCAGCTCAGGCTAAGCTTCCTGACATGGGGTGGTGGCTTATAGGGGCCCGGCAGGCAGGGGGTACTGTCCTTGGGGGGACATCTGTTCACCCTGCACTTCAAGGAGGGTGGCCCCCAGGCCTAGGTCCTAGCCCCAGGCTGTCCAGTCCTGCGGTGCGCCTCCTTTTCCCCCCAGCTCACCCAAGTCCTCCTGCAGGCCAACGTGGAGCACATGACAGAGAAGATGAAGACAGACATCCAGAGAGGCCTGGTGCTGCGGTGAGGGGCTGGGGTCAGTGGACCTGGGAGGTAGGGCTGAGGGCACTTGGGGCGGGACCTCATGGTCCCTCTGTCCCCAGGAACGAGAAGTGCCATGAGCACTACACCACGGAGTTCCTGTACAACCTCTACTCGTCGGAGGGCAAGGGTGTCTTTGACTGCAGGACTAACGTGCTGGGCCACCTGCAACAGGTATGGGGATAAGGTACTTGGGTCCCCTTTATTGGTGTGAGGGGTGGCAGCCCACTGCACACCATGCAGTATCTTACCCACTCCACTCAGCGTCTCCTGCTCCACTCCACCCTGTCCCTTATCTGTTCCCAGCCTCTCAGTAGCCCTCAGGAGGCCTATGTGGGGCCCCTGCCAGTTGACCTTGAGGCCCAAAGGCCAACCTGCTCTGTAGCTGGGTACTCTCAAAGCTGGACTGAGGGCCCAGGCCATGGGAGGTGGAAGGCATGACTGCAGGGACACAGTCTCCCTCTGTTTCAGGGCGGGGCGCCCACACCCTTTGACCGGAATTACGGGACGAAGCTGGGAGTGAAGGCCATGCTCTGGATGTCAGACAAGCTGATAGCTGTCTACCGCAAGGGTAGGTGGGGTATCCTGGAGCCAGACCTTGTCCTTCAGAGGCTGAGGAGCCCCAGCCTCAGTCACCATGTGTCTTGTGTCCACAGGGCGGGTGTTTGCCAATGCCCCAGACTCGGCCTGTGTGATTGGTCTGCGGAAGAAGGTAGTGGCCTTTAGCCCTGTCACAGAGCTCAAGGAGCACACGGACTTTGAGTGAGTCCCACTGACAGTACTGCATGGAGGGTTGGACCCTGGGAACCCCATGTCCAGATTGAGAGTGGTCATGGCCATGTTTCTTTGACACAGTCAGCAGGGCCATCAGGGAAGAGGGGCACACCTGTGCTCTTAAGGGAAGGGCCCTAGACCCTGACCCCACCCTGGGCTCCACTGACTCGGTGTGATGAGGGGCATGGGTGGGTGGGTGGAAGGCTTAGCCAAAGGAGCTACCCTGACCCCTAGTCCCCTGCCCCCACAGGCACCGCATGCCCCGGGAGCAGTGGTGGCTGAACCTGCGGCTGATGCTGAAGATGCTGGCACACTACCGCATCAGCATGGCAGACTACGTGTCCGGGGAGCTGGAGCATGTCACGCGCCGCACGCTCAGCCTTGACACAGGCTTCTGAGGCACTGCTGTGTCCCTCCGGCATCAAGCAGGGCACCTGTGGCCCATGGTGGGTGGGATTGGCCCTGCTGTACTTCGGTCCCCTTCCTACCTGACTTATGACCAACACTAGGACTGCCTTCCTGCCACGCTGGGCACACTTACGCTGGGCCCCACTTTGGAAGCCCCAGGACCCCAGGACTTGCTCCCCATATGCCGCACTGACCTCTTACCTGCCACCGTGGCTGAGCAGCACTGCCATCTTCTCTAGAAATAAAGTTGCCTGACTGGAGTCCAGCTTGCAGCTAGAAGCATGGCTGAGGACCATGTAGATGGAGCCTGAGGTCATGGGGCCTGGTAGCCCCTAGCCTTGGTGTGGGCCACACCTGCAGTTGCTTCCCAGGGCTACCAGTATGACTGAGTCCTTCCCAGCCTTAGGAAAGCTTCTTAGCCTGTGTGTCCCCCATGCCAGATTATTTGTCTATAGGGCCCAACCTGTCTATAGGGTCCCTGCTGCTGTGAGCAGGCGGTAGAGATGGGCACCATGGGTGAGCAGGGACAGTAAGGGAAGCTGGTAGGGCTGATCTCTTGTCTGCGGGCAGCTCTGGGAGGCAGCAGCTCCCACCCCACTTGTCAGGCCAGCATCCTGAGGTAGACCATCCAGTGTAAGGTGCTGCTCCCCACCCTTAGCAATGAGTGGAGCTCTGGACATGTGTCCACTTCAGGGGCCTGTGGGCTGTGCGGGGGCCCAGGGCAGGGGTCTCCCACTGCCCAGGCAAGGGACTGAGGGTCTGGGGTCTCTGGTCTGTCTTGCACCTTAGTGGGGACTACTGCTCAGCTCATCATGAGGGTCTAGAGACCCAAGTGTGCACTCATGGGGCACTGGGCAGTGTCTCAGCCTTCGTGACACCAACTGGCTGGTGTCAGGTGTGGCTGTAACACGGGAGCAGAGGCCACCCCCTGCTACGGACCTGCTTGTCCACACTCTGGGGCTAGAAAAGCCCCAGGGCCACAGTGCCTACCATCTCTGGCCTGCAGGGTGCACTCCCATCTGCGCTCTGCCCTGTTCAGTCATGTGTTGGGAAGGGGAGGCCAGGAGAGCCCAGGGCCAGCACACACCAGCCACTGCTGCTGCCTACCCTTTACTACTGAGATGTGCAGGGGCACCCTCAGCTGAGGACAAGCCGGGGTCCGGTTGGCTTCTTGGTACCTCTCTGGAGCCACTCATTTCTTGGGGTGTACAGGAAGCGCATATGGGGGCTGCACATTCGATGGAGGCAGCCAGGGCAGACTCAGGCTCTGCCAAATCCACCTGTGCCTTCTCATTGAAAGCCAGATACCAGGTGTGGAGAGTCTACAGTTCTGGAAGCTTGTAGAAACCAGGAGCCCTCAGCAAACCTTGGGTTAGTCACTTTTGCCAGAGAAGAGGTGGTATGGTGGCTTCATTGCAGCATCTGTCCTCTAACTGCATCAGTGAGGGGTGCAGGGCCATGCCATGGAGCATCCCTGGAGACCACCAGCCTGCCACCCAGAGGCAGGCTTGTAACGCACTAGGGGGCTGGAGCTGCCTGATCCCTCTTGAGCTCCTGGGTAGGTGGGGCACAATGTGTGAGACACAGGGGTCACCTGGGCTAGTCAGATGACATTCTCTTATTGGGGATGGTACCCATAGGTCTGTTCCTTATCCTGTCCAGCCCACCGGGAGGGGCAGCATCTGCTGGGGGCTGTCTTTTCTGAGGTTGCTGCTGTGTGCAGGCCAATTTTCCTACAGTGAGAAGGCAGGAGGGGGATCACCCCGTGGGTAGTGGGGGACTTGCCAGGCACACCTGAAACCAGGCTTGGTGTAGGATTCTGGGGGTCCCAGGCAAGATGAACATGGCGTGACCCATGTTCACCTATATGCTTCAACATGTAGCAAGAGTTTTAGGATGGTGACATTGTCAAAGGGAGGCAGGTGCAGGCCAGAGGTTGCACAGCACAGACCATGATGACCCCTTGAGCCACTCTGCACCTCCTCTGCAGCCAGACTGAATTCAGCAACTCCCCACGCTGTGGGGCTCCCAGCTAGCTGGAGCTCCCGGGAGCATCAGTCCCCAGACTCTGGAGGATCCAAGTTGCCCAGTCCATGTAAGCAACGCCTCCTGCTCTTCTCTTAATTGCCTTGCTGACAACACCTGTGCGAAAAGTTGCAGAGGCCACCTTTAGAGAATAAACAAAGAGGCAGGCCTCCCTCTTCCATCCAGAGATTCTACCTCAGGCAGGACACAGCTCACAACCTGGGAAAATCCTTCCCACCTTCTGCTCCTTGAACATCACTGTGGGACACAGCAGTGCGGGCCATGTTTACCCTAAGTCCAGGCATATCTGTCCATGGAAGACCCACAGGTAGGAGGTGGGTATCGCTTGCATAGATCATATCCCTGATTCTCCCACTTCCGGCTGGTCCTGCCAGTGTGTGCCATGTACTGGGGCTGGGATCCTCTTCTGGGGGTAGAACCCTTGGCTTGTCCTGCATGACTCAGGGTCTGAACTCACTGTTGAGCTCAGGACCACAAGTGTCGTGGAAGATGCCTGTGATGCAGAATCCATCTCCTCCCCAGGAGCAGCTCTATGCTGAGAAACCTATTATAGACCTGCTCCTGGCTGTACTGTGCCGGTGTGTACTGTTTCTGGTTAGTGAGGAGGCCCAGCCTCAGCCCTCTGGCCAGTGACCTGGGCTAAGGACACGGCCGCTGGATACCAGTGGTTGCTGCATGCAGTGCCTGCCTTTGGGTCATGGGAGAAGTTTAGGGTGGGCCCCGGAAGTGTGCATGGAAGTCTCTCCTCAGTACAGCCCTGATGGAGGTGTAAGACAGGAGGGAGCAGGGAGCTCATGCCTAGGGGGTCAAACATTCTGGAAATAAAATCAACCCACCTGCCCAAAAGACAGCACTTTATTCACCTGAGTGACCACAGGAGGCAGACACAGGCCTGGGACAATCAGATGTTCTCCCACTGTGACTACATGGGTCCTGAAGAATGTACAAGAGAACCTTGACAGACCAAGCCCCCGGGTTGTGCCCAAGTCTAGTGCACAGAGCCCTCCGCTGGGCCTCACACAGCTGGCACTGGCCACAGCCTTGTCATGAGGCACCAGCGTAATGATCTGCATTGTAAGCCCTGGCCTTCTGGATGCTGTCACCATGGCTGGCTTACTGGATTACATAGCTGTCCTGTGACCAGATGTGCTCTCAACAGCATGGATGTGGGTGCCTCAGAGATGGCCCTGACACCAAGAGGAGGCGGAGAAGGCATGCATGCTTCTCTGATCACTGCATCTGCTGGCAGGTCACTCACTGGGCACCCCAGGATGGCTCTGGGCTACAGCGTTAACCCTGGTTCCCAGTATCCTAGCAGGATCGCCAGGACGCCTGTGTCCCAGACTGGTGGGTAAGGGTGTCCACGGGCCTCATGAAGGCTCAGCTCGCCCTCCCCACAATTGCAAGGTTCCTTAAAGAAGGGAGATCCTGCCCAGGCCTGCTGAGAAGACAAAGTCCTTCCTGGGCATGGCCATGATGCCAGCTTTGAGGTGAAGGTTGCTGTCCCTCTGGTGGACTACCTTACCACTAAGGACCAAGTGGCAAAATTGCTCCTCAGAAGCTGTGAAGTGGCACCAACTTGAAGAGAATGACAAGACTGCACCTGCCACCAAGCTGTCTGCTCCATCACCAGGAAGTGCTTCATGGGGAGGGCAGCAGGTAAAGCCTAGACCCTCATGGCCTCTGCAGTCAAGTCTGAGGATGGTCCTGGCATGGGTAGGCACCTCTACCAACACAGGTCTGCCTGCTGGCATCTGGCCTGCCCTTGTCTGATATGGGCCAGGCTCTGTGGAACAGACAGGATCAGCAACAGGGTGTACTGGGCTCATGTCACTCTGTGTCCTCCTGCAGCTCCTGCCTGTGCAGTAACTGCAGCCGGCTGCTGACGACTTGCTGCACGGCCTCCAGCCCCTCCACATCCAGCTCCCGCAGCAATAGCAGCACGGCTGTCAGTACATTCTGGGGACAGGGAAAGGATGACCAGAACAAGGAGGGACATGGTGCAAACCAGCAGCCTCACGTCCCTTCAGGTAGGGAAATGGAGGCACATGGGCCATAGCCCAGACTGCTCAGGGTGGTCCACCCACATGGCTCTTCCTGCGTCCCTAGGAGGTGACCTGCATGTGCTACAAAGAGGAAGGGCCACATAGACAGCTTACACACAGTTCACCATGAAGGGCTACATGGATGGCTGAGGGAAGCACCAGAGGTCCTGTGGCTCACCAGGAGGAATGCACTGGGAGGAGACAGGCATGCTCTGGCCCTGACTCCTGCAACACCAAAGGGCTGCATATATCCTTGGGGCTCTGAGGCCACCTGTGTCCCTGTAGTGCCTGCTGTGCCTTGTGGACTCCACTCTCCCCAGGAGCTGCGAGTACCCATCAGGAGGGAGCCTGTGGAGGCAGACCTACTCCTGCAGTTGGACCTGCGCCTGGGAGAGGTGACAGGAAGTCCCTCTTTTTTCACTCCCTTTCCTTCCAAACAGGCCCCAGGCTATGCCCCCCGCGGCCCAAGCGGGTCTGTGAGTGGCTGTATCCATCCACCATGGGGGCTCCTCTGGCAGGCAGGGCAGCCCAGCCAGATGGAGGCCACTCTGATGGATGGAGCAGAGGCTGTGGCTCCCTGTTCCTCCCATAGGTGCTCACACACTACTGGCCACCAGATGGCTGAGGAAGCCCTGGCCCTCCCCTCCAACTGGGCCATTCCCTGGAACCAAGGGACCATGTGCCAACATGGCTGAGCTCTGAGGGCTCTGCAAGGGGCTGACACAAGCATAGGGAGGAGGCACTAGGGCCACTCTCTTGCACAGGGTCCACTGCGCAGGCAGCACCATTTCTCACATGGGCTGGAATCAGAAATGAGTTCTGCTCCCAGCCAAGCTCATGGCCTTGGAGGTCACTCAGGACACCCATGGAAGAAACAGCTTCTCTTATTGGTGCTGGGGTAGGGTGGAGGAGAAAGAACTGCAGGACGGTCAGATGCCACGGGCGGCAGGTGAGAATGCAGGGAAGAGTGGGAAGGGCACGGGGCTTGGGGTGTCACTGAGCTGCCTACTCAACCTTCTTCAGTCACCAATCTGGAATCATGGGCTCTGCTCCCTGGTGCCACCCAGGGTACCCAGCCACACCGGATCCAACTGCAGTTAGAAGTCTGTCTGCAGGAAGCAGGCCTCTGCCAACTTCAAGCCAGCCATGCAGCCACCCAAGGTGTTCTGGAAGCTACTGGCACTGAGGACAGTTGTGGAGGCACACTGAAGCCAGCCACTGCCCCAATGTGGCTTCCATGGGCTAGCACTCCCAGCAGTGGGGATTCTAGGGGACTTGGCTGCGCCACACACACAGTATGGAAATTCTAGGCAGAAGCAGTGGTGATCTGGGCATGATTGCTTGTGTCACTCACCCTGTTTTTGTGACTGCTCTCAGTGTCCCTCTGTGAGAAAGAAGGAAACCGGTCCCTGGCAGGGTTCTTCAAGCTGAGGTGGCCTTGGACACAGCTGTGAGATGGATACCATGGAGGTATGTGAGGTCTAGGGCACCAATCTGTACCCAGCAGGATATGGAGGAGGCTGAGCCCATCGTGGAGACTTCTATGTGGCACTGGGCTCGCACACAGTGGCCAAGTACCCACTCCTATTTTGACCCTCTAGGGTAATATCCCTGTGACCCATTTCTCAACTGGGACCCCTTCATTCAGGGCCTCACAGTTGGCCCGCAACATAGTAGGGGTCAGCATACTGGCATCAGCCTGCACCTGCAGCTGCCACTGCAGGGTCAAATCCAATGCCCTCCCACCACATAGTGGCTGAGGATGCTCAGCGTGGGCTGCTCTAAAGCCCCGGAGCCCTTCTGCCAGTTATTTCTGCACAAATGCATTAAGGGCAGCAACACCTGACCTGGGAGGTGTCCTGGCCACACCCCACACCCAAGGAGCACTTCCTGTACCCGTGCACCTCATACTTCCTGCATCCACAGTCACCCCTGGAGGGTGGAAGGCAGGGGAGCCCCCCAGGGACTCCCCTCCTTGCTGCCCACAGCACACTCCAGAACCCCATCTGTTGGGGGCCCTGGCACAGGCACAGCTCCCAGCCTCACTCTGCCTCCTCATCCATGCAGCTCAGCGTGTCCGGGTTGGTCTCAGTGGCGGAGCTAATGGAGCTCAGTGTGTCGGGCAGCTCTTGATGGCCCTGGCCTGTGCCCTCCCTGTCTGGGGCGGCTGTGATCTCATCCCCCTCCATCAGCGCGCGGGTCAGCTCCTCCTCGGTCACCGCTTGGGGTGAAGGGCAGAGAAAGCAAAGGCATGAGAGGGGCTCGGCCTGCACAGCTGCACACAATGGCCCTGGCCTCTGTTGCACACTGGGTCTGTCTCACCCTCATAGCCCTGTGACATGCACGCAGGAGCTGGGCCTAGGACTGCCTGTGAACACAGCTGGGTGGGCTGGAATGTGGCAAACTCTATGGGCAGTGAGCAGCTGCAAAGCCCCTGACCCTTGACAGGAGGGCATGTGGGCTCTGTGCACAGTGTGGGGGTGTAGGGCCACCAGCACAGCTGCACCCACAGATTCCCAGGAACCAGCCAGAGTGGACCAGCCCCCAGACAAGTGTGTCCTTGTGTGGCACATGCTGGATGGTCAGAGAAGTCCCGCCCTTCAGGAACAAGGGGAGAGGGATGGGACTTGAGGGTGAGCTGACCCCCAGAACATGCAGCTGTGCCCCGGTAGGCCAACACAGGCACTGCCAAGAGGTGACAGCGCACAGTCAAGGAGATGTTGTGCCTGCAGAGCGGGAGGCAGGAGACGGGCTGCAGACTCAGCCTGCAGACTCACCCTGGTTGTCTAGCTTCTGCAGATGTGGCAGGTTGCGTAGCACTGTCATGCGGTAGAGGTGTGGGCTAGGGCCACAGCATGGGTTCTCAGCCAGCCACAGCACCCTGAGGTGTGGCAGCCCCTTCAGGTAGAAGAGTTCATCCAGGCTGGGGATACGGTTCCTCCTTAAGTACAATTCACTCAGGCGGCGGCAGCGGCTCACAGGCTCCAAGGTTGAGACGCTGTTGACACTGTGGGATGGTGCTGTTAGTGACTTGACACTCAGGGCAGGGCTCTAAGGTGGGTGGGTACCTCCACAGAACCCGTAGACCCCTTGGCCACCTGTTTGTCGCTCAGTTATAGGCCAAAGTCTGACGTAGTGGGTCAAAGCAAGAGATGACCCTAGCCTAGAAGCAAGCCCCTCAGCACAGGGCATGATAGTTCCCTCACTTTACTGCATGGACACTTCGCCTTCTTTCATGGGAGGCAGCAGCCAGAACTCCCAGCAAAATACAACAAAGACCCAAGTGTTAAACTTCCAAAACCCTACATTAGGAAGAATCTAAGAGCGAGGGCTTCATTTCAATCCTGAAGGTTTATGAGCAATCACAGAAAGAGAAACATGCATAATGTCCATCCCACCCTATGATGGATAGACAGACAGGCCTTCAGCTCAAGGTGGCCACTATTCTACCGCACCAAGCGTTCCTTATTGCAGGACCACTCCAGGGTAGGGCACACGCTGGTAGGGACAACTGTGGCATGCTGACCCTGGAGAACATATCGCCACACCTGGCAAGTGGCAAGGATCCTCAACATCCATGCCCTTCCTAGGTACAAGATGGATAGGAGGGAATTCAGGGGTGTGGAGAGCTCTTCCTCTCAAATGCTCCCAGGTTACCAACACTGATCAATGATAGGCCCTGTGATACACGGAAACTGGTGAGGTCCCAGAAAGATGGAACCTGCAGCAGATGTGGCCACGGTGAGGGCAAGCCAGGCTGGGCCAGCCCATGGCTTATCAGTAGGCCTCCCCAGCTCCAGCTGTAAACACAAAGGTGACTTCTGCAGTGTCATGGCTGTGGCTGGGCAAGAGAAGTGCAGGGTCCCGAGCTCCCATGCCCCAGGGACTAGAATGAAGTAGGAAGCAGGTACCTGAGTGTGATCACCTCCAGGCTGGGCATCTCTCGGCATATGGAGATCTAGGGAGGGAAGAATGTGGCTAGCTAACAGTGCAGCACTGATGGCGTCCTGACTATGTCTCTCAGGCCAACTCTACTTCAGGACATGGGTGTGGTCTTGTTTGGCCAGGGCTCTAGGAAGGGTCCTACAGGGCATGCAGGGCCCAGGCTCACACTGCACTCCGCAGCCCAGGCCTTGCTCACTGTGGGTAGCATGGCTTACTGGTGCCCATGCCCACTCTGTGAATCTCTTAGAGATGCTTCCAGCTGCAGGGATCATTCCTCACTGCAGAGGCTCCCAGGGATGTTAGTTAGGGACCTCAGAGGGCCCTGCTCTGGGACAGAAGCCCACACAGCCAGGCTAAAGGGAGACAGGCTTGAAACTAGATCTTAGACTAAATCATCCCCACTTATTCTACGGAACAGGGCAGGCAGTCCTGGGCCCATGCCAGGCGTTGCATGTCTGAGTCTTAGACTGCTGGGACTAGGTCCCCCACACTCAGCCCATAACTGTGTGGGGTGAGTGAAGTTGGGGGATCTGAAGCTGGTGCTGATCAATAAAGCCAAAAAGAGTGTGTGATGAGCACTGTACCTGTTCAGAGGACAATTCATCCTGACACTCCTTCCCAGGGGACAGTTTGACTCTGTGCCTTCCTTAGAGCATGACCACGACCAAGGACATGGGACAGAGCCAATGGCCATGTCAACGGTTCTTACGTGAACGAGACACAGCTTTGGGGCAGGGCTATGTGGAGATAATCATGGTACTACTTACATCCGTGAGACGGCTGCCCCTGAGGAAAAAAAGACACTGTACTTTAATCTCATCAGATCTGACTAAAAATATCACAAATCTTACAAACCTTACATTGTATGATTTCAGTTACACAGAAAAAAAAAAAAGGAAAAAAGTTTTACCAGGCAACTTGAAAACCTCAAAATTGTTGGGGTGACTTTGAACAAAATTCTGTGTACGGTGCTTGGGGGGGATTTTTTCAAGCTAAGGAAGAGCAGGAGTTGTTCCAGTTGCAGGATATAAAAAGATACACTCATTCTTCCAGTGGCTAAATACCAGAAGGCTCATTTCCCTCACTGACATAAACAAGGGAGTTTTCATAGGGGGCCAAGTTCAAAGACTAAACATGCAACTTATGAGGCCAACTTTAAAGGTCTAAAATGGAGCTGTTGTTTCTCTGGGCACAGAGAAAGCCCTAACTATCTGTGTCCAACAAGGAAGGGCATTATTTAGAGCAGAGACAGAAGGAAACTATGGCCACGCTGCCAGATGTGCCTAAGCAGACAGAAAGGCTTTTTAATGAACCTGCTTGGACCCACTACCTCCCACTCTCTTCCAGAGGATCAGGCCCACTGAGTCCCCAGAAACACCTGCAGCCCCTTCAGGTCTCACCTGCAGGCCACCTCCTCTAGCAGCTCTGGTCCTCCTTGGCCCAAGGCCCAGCACCCGTTAGCTAGCTAGCTAGCTAGTTATTTATTTGTTTGTTTGTTTATTTGGTACAGGGTCTTGCTACACAGCTCAGACTCATACTGATCCTCTTGTCCCAGCACCCGCTATTTATTTATTTATTTGGTACAGGGTCTCGCTATACAGCCCGGACTTGTACTGATCTTCCTGTCTCAGTCTCCCCAGTGCTGGGATTACAGCAGTTTTGGTGGCTGGCAGGGTGCACCTGGGGGTTCTGGGCCCAGCAAGGCATGCAGTACTGGGGATCGAACCCAGATTCTTGAGCTTACCATGCAGGCGCTCAGACCACCGAACTACGTCCCCAACCCTAGCACCGCTTTTGAGTTTGCATTGATCCTACAGCATCTGTCCCTTGCTGTCACCCCCAAATGAGATCACCTGGGCACAGTCCTTCTTGGGCACCTAGTGAACAAGGTGCCCTATAGTCTCAGTTCTCTGTCCTAGAAATGGTGATGATCCCCTTGCACCTCCGTCTTATTGACAAGCCTGACACCAAAGACTAGTGGCAACTTCAAATGCCAGACAATCATAGAGGGGCTGGAGAAAGGCCACCTGAAGCCCCATACCTCTCCTGGGAGGGGGCGCGATCTTTGCCCTTGGTCACCTGAGCTCGTGCGACCCATCCTCACGCTGCAGACCAGGCAGCTGCGACCCCACTCTCGGGCTGACGGGGAGGGGGGACGGGGCCAGGCAGGGCCACACTGCCGGGGGGAGGGTGTCGCTGGCCCCTTAGCATCATGTAGTACTGTGGGCCCAGGCCTCACCAGCAGTTGAGCTTCCGCACGCTGTGCAGCTCCGAGGCCTTAGCCCGGGTCAGGACCATCTTCCGCGTCAGTTTCATGACGGCCGCGCGCGGCCCCCAAGTCCGGACCTCGTCCCTCGGCCCCTGGGTGCCTGAGCTTCGCAGACTACAGCTCCGCCGCCTTGCGTCTCCAAGAGGCGGGGTCTGCGTCGCCAGGGGCGGATCCCGCGAGTTCATTGGCGCTCCGGTGAGTGGGCCGGGCCGCGCGGGCGCAGGGCGGCCACCTGGATTCCGCCCGGCGCGTGGGCCCGGCCCTCCGTCCCATCCTCCCAAGCCGTGCGTAGGTACCGCGCACGCGCGGGGCGCGCGTGATGACGTATCCGATGCGCCGTGTTGTTCCGAGAGGGCAGTAGGGCCCGCCCTGTGCGGCCAAGTTCTGGGCGGAGGCCGGGGTGGCGGGTTGGCTGCTTGTCGTCCTCGCGGCTTTGAACCACAGCGACTTCAGTAGGTGCGGTCGGAGCAGGGCTGTGCCAGGTTACCGCGGAGATCCCGGGATCCTGGCAGGAGAATCCAGAGCCCTCTGAAATGCTCTGGGTCGCAAGGGCCGTCGCCAGCTGCGCGTCTCCTTCCCTCGCCCCCGTACCCGGTTACTTAGGTGTCAGTACCTGGAGTATCGGTCTTTACGCCACATCGTGTGCTATGAGCAGCCGTAGCGCACGTTTCCCAGATCTCAGGCCCCGGCCAATTCCGGATAAACCCGTTCTGGAGACCCTTGGCTTCTATTTAGGTTGTAAATCGCGACCTGAGTTTGGCGTGGTAGCGCACACTCATAATCCCAGCATCCTGGGAAATCGAGCGCGAGGATCACAAGTTTGAACTCAGCCCGGGCAAGTTAGCCACTTCGGGCGACCCTGTCCCAAACTTTAAAAAAAAAAAAAAAAAGGTTGGGGATGTGGCTCTGTGAAGGCCCTCGGTTCAATCTCCGGTACTGAAAATAATTAGTAATAAAAAGAGGCGATAGGTTACATCAAGACAAGCATTTGGGATCCAAAGCCTATTACAGATAAGATTTTCGTTGACTGAAATTTAGTCAGTCTAGGTCATTCCCATTCATGAAATGTGGCCGCCTTTCATATCTGATTAAATTCCCCTGCCATTGATGTCAGATCGCCAGGGCCTGCCTTCACCAAGAGTTCTATTGAGTCAGTTTAATAAGTGTCCTCCTTACCCCAGCATCTCCTGAGTAATTTTCACCTACAGACCCCAACTACTGTTCCTTGGCCACTTGTCCCTGCATTTGGAGTGGAGATCAGTATCCTTTATTGCAATAAATAGTCTTACGTGGGCTGGGGAGACAGCTCAGTAGCATAAGCGCCTGCCAGGCATGCACAAGATCCTGAGTTCTATCACTGGTACCACCAAAGGTGTGTGTGGGGGGAAGCTTTACAACAGTTTCCTCTTGTAATGAGTGTCAGGATAGTTTTGTGACACATAATAACCACCCTCCCCCAATTATTTCCTCTAACAGAAGTCAGAAGTCACCTTCCCAAGCCATCACAGTGAGATCCCCAGATCCATGGCATGACAGGTATGCTTCAGCAGTGGAAAGAAGCTTGACCTTTTTCACAGTGCGATTTTGCTATGGGATCTCCCCAATGAGCCCAGCCCTAATTTCTAAAAGGAGAAATGCACTTTCAGGATAATTTAATAAAGTCTACTGTTTTCTGAGTTTTGTCCCTCTTGTGTTTTGCCCGACCCTTGGGTGCTGTGAGGGGCTTTGCTTTGTTTTGTTTTTTTAATTTTTAGGGAAGGGTCTACAGGGTGTTCAGGGGCTCACTAATAGATCAGACTAGTAGTGATATGCCTGTTTACATCCTCCCAAGAGCTGGGATTGAAGAGGTGCACCACCACACCCAGTGTCAATGGCCTAGTCTCAGCATGCTCTGGGGGCAGGGCCAGCACAGCAGATGGGGGTGCGGGGTGGGGGATTGTTTTTGTTGGCCCCAGAGGGAGGTGGCCTCTACAAATTGGGTTTCTGGAGAATGTCAGCTTGCAAGCTGTGTAGTAGCCCCAGTCAGAGCTCAAAAGTGGACATTTGCTTTAGTACCTGCTTCCTGGTTTCTGCTAAGCCTGTGACAGAGTCCATTCCTGTGACAGGTACCAGGTGTTAGGGCAAGAGAAGATGGCTCTCCTTTCGGAAATGTAAGGCCACAGAATACCAAGTGTTTATGGCGGCCTGCAGGTGTATTGCGAGTCAGTTGCATGGAAGAAACATACCAAGCATGGAGTGGCCCAACCCTGGGGAATAGGAAAGGTAATGTGCTTAGGGTGGTGTGTGTGTGTGGGAGGGTGGTGGTGGGAGGGTTTCTTAGTGTAAGAACTTGGAGAATAGAGAGCATCCAAGCAGTGCCATCCAATTCTCACACCAAGCAGGCAGAGAACAGCTGGGACCAAGAGATGCCGAGCCTAAGCTCCATCCCACCAGGTGTGGCAGGCAGTAGGCTTCCTTCAGGTGCAGGCTGCATGAGCTTGCACAGGGCCCCTGGCTCTCCCAGTTGGGGACCATGGCGAGGGGCTGGGACCTGAATTGCATTTTGGTGCTTGAAGCTGCCCTGGAGCTGAAACATGATGTGGAAGTATCCACCTCCGTTCTGTGGGGAGCCAGCAGCTCCAGACTCCAGCCAGCTCCTTGTGCTGGTGGGGATCAGGTAGACCTTTGATGGGATATTGTATGTCATGCCCAAGCTAGCCGATGGGGGAGCTCTGGAGCTGCTGCCCTGTTCCTTCTGGGTTTGACCCAAGTAGCCCATCCCCTCTGCACCTAGGCTGGTGTGGTCAGAGTGAAGGTGGTGCAAGTTGAGGGTTAGGTAAGGCCATGGGCCCACCAGATGCCTTCCCAGTCTTGGGTCTGGCCTGTGCTCTCAGACTGTGCCCATGGGATGAAGCACCTTGCAAGAGAGCTGTACCTGGAGATTTCTCATCAGGAAAGAGTCTAGGGGAAGAGAAGCCTGCTGTGGGGATGTGGAGCCCCTGACAGCCCAGAGCAGTGGGGGACTTCACCCTTCAGGAAGTATGGCACCCAGAAGTCACAGGAGCCCTGAAATGACCACTGCACCCTGCACCCCAACACCCTCATGGTCTGTCTGGAATCAGCTGCATCCCTATGAGCTCAGGGGTGGACTTGACCGACAGAGAAGCTGTGTGAACTTCAGAAGGTAGAGGGGCAGCAACATCCTTAGAGCAGGGCCTTTGTAGTTGGAGAATAGAGGGGGGACAGGCCGTTGGGGTCCTTGTACTGCAGCCAATGCTTCCTCTTCTCTTCCCCCTAGCAGTACCCCAACCCATTGGCACCCTTCATTGCAATCTCAGAGGCTGACACTTGCATGCTAGCTCTGCCTCTTCAGTGAGACCTTCCCAGTGTCTGGGGCAGCGCTGCCCCCTCCATGTACTTCCCCCACCAGGGGAACTTGCCCAGCATCCCCCAGCTTTTCTGGATTTGTGCTTCTCTGCAGCTGACTGCCTGAAGTCCAATTCCTATAACAAAGGTCTTATTTCAAAATACTGCTAAGAGGTTCACTTCCCTAAAAGAACTCTGACATAGGCAGAAAAGTGACCTGAACTGAGGCAGAAAAGTGACCCCAACTGTTACAAACCTAAATGAAATGTTGGCTCTCAGCCCTGAGAGGCCTGGACCACTGGCTTCAAGCTCACACCATCCAGGGTCTTGAGGTCCTAGTTCTTAGGACCACTGTCATCAACCTTGTCCCACTCTCCTGCTGCACAGCATTGTGACTGCTTTGGCATAAGGGCACTGTCCCCAGCTCAGGGTCAGTCCCATCTGAGTAGTGTATCACTCTGAGTGGGCATGGGTCCCATGTGTAGTTCTGGAGAGTTGGAGCATAACAGAGTGGACCCCAGTGCTGTCCCTCCAGAAGTGGGGGACAAATGTAGTGCCTTGGGCAGCACAGACCTGTTCCCATGAGCTTTCTTGTTTTCCTCATCATAAATTTATACTTGTTCCCAATGAAGACCCCCTCTGGTGGTCACTCCCTGGGGTGATCACTCCTCTTTCTGCTGGATGCCTGCAGATGCTAGAGTGCTGCTTTTGTGTCCTCCAGTAGGAGAGCTATTGGGCCCAGGACCATGAGTAGGAGAGGGGATGTGGTGGGTCCTGTGTGTGACACCTGGGCACATGCCCACACCTTCCTGACTGCTCACTGCTGACCCCTCCTAAAACTCACCATCTTCCCAAGGAAGCTGCTGGCCTAAAGCACGCCCTCCAACCCATCACTGGATGATGACAGGAGGGGAGGACCTTGAAGTCGCTGAGCTATATAGTCAGGGTGCACAGGGGCCTTGGCCATACCACTGTCACAGGTGCTGCCCCCTCTGCCCAGCCCATTCCTCCTCTACAGGTGGAACCTTAAAGCCCCATGCTGACAACTCCCAGGGAGTGTGATAGTGACCTTGTAGCACTCCCATCTTCCTTTTGGTTGAATTGGCTAGGGGTCTCTGGTAACCATGACCCTGGCACCAAGGACCATATTCATGGATGTACCTGTGCCTTTCTTACTCCAGAGTCCCAGTGGCTGAGTACCGGCACTGGGACTCTGTAGGACAGGTCCCTGGGGTGGGGTGGACACTTGGCAGCACCTGGCACCTGGAGATGACCTGGACTGGCTCCAGGCTCCAACTCAGCCTCCCCTCTTCTTTGCCCCTACCCCAGGTGTCCCATCAGGCCCTCACATCTCCAGGCACCTGTCAAGTCACCTGCCTGTGGTGACTAACAAATTACCTCAAACCCAGCAGATCCCAATAGATATTTGTCTTCTCCCAGGAAGGCTTCACACTCTGCCCACAGTCATTCTCCCTTATGTTCCAGCTCCATCTCCACTCATTGTCCCCAGTGTTTGCCACACCGGAAAGGATGCACTTGCTTGTGCCCTTGTTACTGGGTGACAGACCCCCATGACAGCTGAGATGTGTCCTTATCTCCTAAGTCCCAGCCCCTGAGCACATGAGGCCTCCAGGAACCACTTGTCCACTGTCTGACCCATGGAAACCACGCTGGTACGATATTGATGATAGTTCCCAGATGGGAGCCTGACACAGTGACTGAGGGACAGCTCATCCATTTAGGCCAGTTTAACAGACTCCCAGGGATGGGGTGTTCAAAAGACAGAGACCAGTGCTTGCGGCTCTGAAGGCAGGAAGTCCACATTCAAGGTCCTGGAAGATCCAGTGTGCAGTCCACTTCCTGTCTGTGTCTTCACATGGCAGACAGGCAAACAGGCTGCTTGTGCCTCATCTTCAGGGACATGACTCCCACAGCCAGCATCCTACACCTAACACCATCACCGTGGGAATCAACTTGTGAGAATGCACATGGGGGGCTGCACAGTGTCTGCAGAGTGTGCCTGGTCAGCTCTGGCCTGCGTTCTGCTGCCTGCTGCCTGGTCCCCAGTGTTCCAGAAACCTGTGGTGAGTCCCATGCCCAACCTTGGTGGGAGAGGAGCAGTTTGGTTCCACTGGACTTTGCTCAGTGTTCTGAGCTCCTTCAGGCCCTTACCAGCTCCATGGTTGCTGTCACCCTGCAGGAGTGCCACCTGTTAGCAGAGCCTGGCTGCTGGGCTGTGAATAGAGTTCCCAGGGCCTGTGCTAGCTGCCATCTCCATCTCACTCAACCTCTTTGCCATCACCATGCCTATACATTTTATACTCAGTCCTTTTGCAGGACATGTGTCTCAGAGCTATTACCTGTCGATGCCCCAGGGCAGGAAAACAAAGATGCTCCCCAGTTGGCAGCCCAGTGCAGCACACTGGAACTGGCACCTCGGCCCCTCTCTGGTCCTTCACCTGTCTTGCTAAGTGAAGTCTGATGATGCTATGCCATGCTATACAGCTTTTCCCTGCCTATGGCTGCCCTCGAGGCAGAGGTGTCCAGACAAAGGCCAAGAGGTACAAAACCTACCATCCCTAGCTATATGACCCCATGCAGAGACAGGCGGCTGCCCTGCTCTGTCCTAAGACTTCCCTTACTCTGTCCTGATCTCAGGACTGAGCCTTGCTTCCTGTTCCTGCGTGCCACTCAGGGCCAGGGATATATCAGGTCACTGTTCTTCCATCACTAATTGTGAATTTTCTCTTTGCTACCACCACAGGGGGATTTTATCTTGGGCACAAAGTCCATGCTGTGAAAACTCCTTGTGCCTTGCGGTAATGCTCCATGAAGATCAGTATGTGCTGCGTTCAAGCCCTGTGGTCAGTACCCCTTTATCTTCCTGCAAAGGATATTTCATAAGTGTCATTGCAACAGCAACCCAATGAATAAATCTAGCCCTCTTGAAAACCCTGTGGTTTTTCCATAGAAGGAAGTAGCTGCTCTGGGGCAAATAAGTGCAAATGTTTCAGGAGACACTCAGCTCATTAACTCCATCTCCAGTCAGTTCCAGTCAGGCCCTTGGGTGCCTGGCAACCGCAACATGCCTGTCCATCAGTTATTAGGATCTTATCAAATATTAAGCAACTTGCAGCATTTTTAGTTAACGAGATGTCTCTCAGGCCAGCAGGCACCCAGGGAAACAAAGCTGGACAGGGCTGAGCTGTATGGGTGGGTCTCTACTGCCTGTCCTGTTAACCAGCATCTAAGGCACCTTTCTAGGGTGTTCGGATTGTCCTACAGATGCTCATAGAGTGCTTCCTGGTTGCCAGGCTCTGGAGGTGCAGCAGTGGATGAGGCAGAGGTCTGTGTGCCTGTAGCAGCCTGGAGCCCAGCAGGGCAGGGTCACTGCAGAGATGGCCACTCATGGCCCATGGTGCTAGCTAGTTTGGAGGAGAGACCCTGGTTTCGTTTGTGCTTTTCAGAGTTGAGAACATCACAAAGGGCTGCCCTCTGCAAGGGGTGCCACCTTTCCCATGGGGCTATAGATCCTAGGCACCCCTCAGCCGTGGGCACTCCCGTTGGCCTGTGGAGGGTGGGGCAAGACCAGGTGCAGTGTCCTCTGAAGGAGTGTACAGGGTCTGGACAGTGGCCCAGCATGCCTGGGCACAAGAGGAGAGACAGCAGGCTGGGCAGGGCTACTGGAGCCACTGCCCACCTTACTTCCTGGACGCTGAGGCCAGTGGGGCTCACAAGTGGCACCTGAGACTGTTTCTGTTGGGAATGAGGGGCAGAGTGGCTTTGAGGGGCATTACAAGGTTGGGCAGAGATCTGGCTGTCTTGAGAAGCCACTGTCATCTTCACAGGGGTCAGAACACAGTGGTTCAGCCCAGCTCCAGACAGATGGCCTGCAGGGCCTGCAGGGCATTCAGTGGCCAGTGTGGTTTGCTGTCCCTAGCTCTTTTGGTACCCTCTGGGTGTGGCAGATTGGACAGCAGGCTTCAGGGTGCCCAGCTGGGAATGGCCCCAGGATTTGGGTCAGTCAGATGTGAGGGCACAGTGGAGGTCTCTGAGCAGATGTCCTAAGGGAGTGGATGACTCAGCCAGCCTGGGTCTACCAGGGACTCTGCCCTACCCCCTCTCCCTCTCCCCACAGTTCAGGGCCTGAAGGGAGTCGCTGCAACAGCCCGTTTCAACATCCCAGATATTTCTCACTAGCGCTGGTGGCGTGAGCGCCGGGTCCCAGGGCGTCCAAGTCGAGCTGCTGCGCGTCCCGCTGCCCTTGGCTCTGCGCGCTCGCTGTCAGTGCTGAGTGACGCAGAGCGCGCTGCGGGCGCTTGGGCGGCGCGGGGCTCGGGTCTCGGAGCCCGGCGCACGCTTTCGTTGCCAAGAGCAAGGGCGGCCAGGGGCCAGGGCGGTGGTGCGGCTGTGGCGTGGGGACGCACGGCCAGGCCTCAGCGCAGGTACGCAGGTGCGGTGCGCAGGTGCATGCGCGGGTAGGGGCACGCAGCCCAGGGGGTTAGGCGCCGGCGGGAAGCAATCTGGGGCCGGGCTTGGGCGCGGGGTCCGAGATGCGGCCGGGCCGTGGGCTCCACTGCAGTGCGCACCAAGGCGCGGAGCAGGCGCAGGGTCGGCCGGCTCGGTCTATGCAGACTCCTGCAGCTTCGCTACCCTGCCGCAGCAGAAAACAGGGTTGGTGGGAGTGGTGGGCACTGGGGAATCTAAGGCTCTTGCACTGGGTCCTCCCCAGAGACCACAAGGCCGCTCTGGCTCCCAGTTTCTTAACCTCTGTACCTGTGCTCTACGATTTGTTCACAGCCGGTGTCTGCGACCTGGGAGAGGGCAGAGCTCACAGTGAGGGACCCTGAATGGGGGGCTGTCCCATCACCAGGTGGCTCATGCACAGAGGCTACCCCACAGATGAAATGCTTTCTATTTGCTCTATTTCCCAGGAATTTCTTTGGGCAGAGGGGATGGGGTACCCGGGTACACCTGAAAGTACACAATATTATAAGAGGTTGTACCCCTAGTCTTACTGTGGCCCCATGTCCGTTCCTGATGGGGGTGGTGTCCGCAAGGCTCACGGGCAGCTGCTGTTCATGGCTAAGGTGGACAGGTGTGACATTGCCCTTTCCCATACATCTGTGCTCTTTCCTGGAGGCTCCCTGAGTGCCACTATGCAGAGCTCATGTTGGGAGATGCAGCCCATGTTGGGCTGCCCACCTGCTTCCTCTGTGCCAGGAGCCTCAGATTCCCAGCATGGGCATGTGCTTTTGTAAGTGTTGTATCCAGGTGAGTGTGGACATGCTACTCAGCTGTCCATCCCTTGGCCTCCAGGAATGCTCAGCACACACACCTGTGCCAGGTGCTTCTGCAGAATTTTAGCTGTAAACCAGGGTGGCCAGATGCTGTCAGGAAAGTGAAGAAAGAGGTCAACTGTGTGCTTGTGTGTAGAGGAATCCAGAGAAGGTTGGCTGTGGCACTGTCCTTTGAATAGCCATTGTCGGCCCTGGGGTTCAGGGTTTCCCCATCTCTGGACATCCCCAATGCAAAGAGCAGGGGTGCTGGCTTCACATTCTGGGGCTGTGTGCATCTGGGGTGTGAGAAATCTCACACAAGACCTGAGTGGGTGTGCTGAGATGTCAGCTGTCTGAAGCAAGACTGTGACTGTCCTCAGAAGCCGGTTCTGATGCATGGAGAAGCCACCCTGAACTTTCTTGGTGCTCTTGAGGAGGGAACTGAGTCAAGACCAGAGGGTTTGAGACATCTAGGCAGAGCGAGAGTGAGTTACCCCTTCAAGCAGGGGGGCAAAGCCACAAAGGTGTCACCCCAAGTGTGAATCTGGATGCCTTTTGTGTGCCTGCCACTCTTGTGGTCTGCAGACTGGGGGTGCTTGTGAGGCTTACCACCACTTTACTCAGAAGCTGCTTAGGGGAGGCAGTGTTTTCCCATCTGTTTAGTTGGTCAGCACTTTCATCATGAAAGAAATTCACAGATAAATTCTTCATTTTACCTGGGTCCCAGCCTGAGGCAGGGCGTCTCACAGAACACTTCCTTTCTATAGGCCACAGCATCTGGGAGTTCTGGGGGACTTGCTCTGGGGTGCATGCCAGGTGGCCAGGTGTCAGTAGGACTGGGTACCATGAATGATCCTAAGATGTCACTGTACTCTGTGAGGTTGCTTTGGGTCCCAGACCTAGCAAACAACAATGAACTGCACTGGCATCTTTCCTTACTCACCTGGTGATGCGCACCATGTTGGACCTGTGTGTTTGCCCCTCACCTGCTTGGTCTAACCATTTGCCTAACATAGCCAGGAACACGTTAGGGTCCTGAGGACAAGCAAATCCTCTATGGCACACTCAGCCCACACTGGCCTCTTCATTTCCAGCGTTTCAAGATGCCCATCCTAGGGGACCATCTCTGGACCAGATCTCCTATAGCTGGTCACTTACTGCCTCTGACCCTCTTATGTCCAGTGAGAACATGTCTTGCTTTTTTGCTGGCCTTAGCAATAGGCTGGGGAATGACACCAGTGAGCTGCTGTGCAAGACATCAAGGAACTCTGAAAAGCCACTAGGGATGAGATGGTTCTCTCTTCTCAGAGCTAAGCTAGAGGTCCAGCAGCTCACCCTGTCCTTGGGTCTGGGGATATGTGTGTCTGAGGGTCGGAGGTGGGGTGGCAATAGGGGACTGAGAGGCTCTCCAATGTCACAAGAGCCCCCAGAGTCCATCTGGAGCTGTGGCACTGGCATAGGGAACATATGGTTGGCATGTGGCAGGGATACGTCTTCTGGTAACCTCTTGATGTGGTGGAGCTAGAAAGGGGTTCAGGCCTCCCCTTTGCCACTAGGACACCATGGCTCATTAGCTCCCTTGGCTGCCAGCCCTACTGACCCTGATCCCTTCAGGATACAAAACAGAGTAAGAACACTGGCACAATCTGTCCCTTTACGCTGCCCCTCAGTGTCCTCAGGAGACCAGCTCAGGTCCATGGGCTAGAGGAGCTTGCAGGACTTAAACACATTCATTCTCATTTCTGTGGTCTCAGGGGTGGGTCAGGAAAGAGAGGGATGGTTTTTTGGGGTCAGGGCCTGTGGTACTTCCTGAAGCGCAATCTGTGGGCAGTGGGGGAGGGTAGTTTCTTCTTTCTGGAAAGTGAAAGAGGTGAACCCATGTCTGGAACCATGAGATGCGGAACTGAGGGTGCATACAGGGCATGTGAAGGTCTCACTTGTGTCCCTCCCAACACCAGTCTGGGCTGTCTGGGAATGTACAGTGCACCAAGTGTATGGGAATGGGTAGGGTAGCACAGTGGCCTGAGTTTGTGACCAGTGTGATAGAGCCCCACATGTGTGTAGTTCCACACTGCCTAGTGTCCTGCAAGGCTGGACAGAGTCTGGGCAGCCAGGGAGAAAGAGCAGACTGCCCTGGGAGACATTGATAAGTGCGCTACATGAGGAAACACGTGGCCAGAGCAGACATCTCACCTTCCTCTTTCTGCTCTATTTCAGCAGCCCCTCCCCCCATGGTGTCTCCACAACCCCTGGGCTTGTGAGCTGGAGAAAAGCTGGCCCTGAAGGAGGTGGACAAGTGGCAGAAGAAGGAGCTGTGACAGGATGGAGCCCTCGGCCCACAGGAAAGCTGGCTCTGAGCAGGAGGATGGCTTTGGGGTACAGCCTAGGAGGGTGACCGATCTGAGCATGGTCCCCAACCTCCGGCGGAGCAACAGCAGCCTGTGCAAGAGCAGGAGGCTGCAGTGCCCCTTTGGCAGCAGTGAGAAGGTAGGCTCCCCACCTCTGTGGGCAGCCACAGAGCTGGCCAGATTTCTGCCATCTGCCAGATCAGCCCAAACCCTGGGGTTCAGCAGTGACCTGGGCTGGGCATGTTTCCTGTCTGGGTGGAGAGGGACTGCCAAACCCAGGGCTACAGCTCAGAAACACCTTGGGCCCGGGGGCCTCGGGAGATGGTGGGTACTGGACTTCCTTGTCCTCTGGGGACTATATTGTCCTTTGCTCTGTGATCTGCTCGAATGTGAGTCCAGGTCCTGTGTCCTATAGCAGGGTGGGGTGGGGTGGCTTACCTCTCTGTGTCCTGCAGCACAGTGATTTCCCATTTTTACTGTTGTGGTGGTCAGTGCCCTTGATAAACTGGGCTGAAAGCAACTTCAAATGTTGTAGTACCAGGAAGGCATCTGCAGTTCTCAGACAGTAAGCACCAAAGTAAGGGTCCTGGGTCTTACCCAGCACAGCTTCCACCACACCGCTGTCACTGAGGAGACTGATGTAAACAAGTACAGTATGAAGTGCACGTTCAGATTGGGTCTGAGAGCCAAAAGAAACATCACACAGATTCAGTTCCCTCTCTTGAACCTGCCCTGGAGAGCTGTCCAAGGGTGTGTCACCTTGGTGTTGGGCCGGGTTCCTCTGTTGAAACTTGGCAGTCCTTGAAGGCCTGGGCTGTGAACTTTTGAGGGTTCATGACTTGATGATCTCAGGACCTTAAAGGAACCCTTTCTACACACAGCAAGAGCATCTGAGTTCATGGATTCCTGAGAACATCAGGAAGAAAGAATGTGTGTATTTTGTGGAAAGTTCCAAGTTATCTGATGCTGGGTAAGTGATATGTTTTGTGTTTAAAGCCTGTGACCCTCTTCTCCTGGTTCTGGGTAGGTGTTGTGGTTCATTTCCTTATTGCTGGGACACCCACATCCAACACCCACAACCGAAAGGGGGAGAGGTTTATTTGGGCTCACAGTATGAAGAGGTGTCAGTCCATGGTCGGCTGGCTCCCAGGCAGGGCAGCACAGTGCAGGGCCTTGGTGGAGAACAGCTGCTCCTGCATGGTGGACAGGAAGCAGACAGAAAAAGGGGGGAGCCAGGGAAGGAGATGAACCCTTTTGCACCTCCAGTGATCCACTTCTTTTAAGCAGTCCCTACCTCCTAACTGCAGCTCAGCAGATACAATTCCCACAATCCAGTCACTTTCCCAAAGCCCCACCTGTGATCACATGAGGCTTTAGAGGGATGCCTAGGTATAAACTATAGCAACTGCCCAACCCCCCTGCTCCCTGCCCAAATCAGGGACTCCATAGGAGACAGCAGGAGCACCCTGTGTGTGCCAGGCCCAGCCCACATGTGCACTGATTCAGTGGCCTCTCCCTCCAGCCACCCTCTGTGCTGCTCTGGACAGGCCATCTTCTCCTGGCCCTTCTTCCTTCCTGGAAACTCCTACTTAGCTTCAAGGCCTGTTGCCTCTTGGTGTGCTCTTCCCAGGCCACATGCCGTACAGGGCACGGCCTCTCTCCTCCTCTCTGCTGGCCACTGTAGAGTCATTTTGGGGCTCAGGCCTTGTCTCTCCCACTCACTGCTGAGCTCTTTGGGGCAGGGACCACGACAGTGTTGTCTCATCCCTCCTCACGCAGGCAAGTGGCTGGCACACAGCTGCTTACTGACCGATGTGGGAAGGAGCCACAGGAAGCAATAAGGTCACTCTGGGCCCTGTGCTCTGCCCAGGCATGGTCACTGCGAGTGTCCCGTGCACTGAGGCTTCAGGGCTCACGCTCCAGCCTGGCTCCTCCTCAGACACCGGGGGGCTCAAGCCCTGGAAGCAGAGTGCCATGTTTCATATCTAGATGCTCTCCAAAGTCTCCTGTGCTCATAGGAGCTCTTTGAAGAGTGATTGGGTCATGGGGGTGTTACACTGTGGGTGGATTAATCCCTGGAGTTTATAGCTAAATGTGCTGTTAGGAGTTGAGGTCTGCCCCAAAGCAGCGGTCATGCGGTGCGGCCTGGAAGGGGTCGTCTCTCTCCCCGGCTCCTCCCTTCTCTCTCTTCTTCCTATCTACCAGTGGGGAGCCGCTGTCCTCTGGCAGCCCCTTCTTTCATGCTGCTCTATAGACTAAAATGAGAACCAAAATAAACTTGCCCTTCCTTAGGTTGTGGGTGTTGGGTATTGTGTCCCAGTGACGGGGGAAGTGGCTAGGACAGAGGGAGTGGCCACCAGGTCTAGCTCACAACTACAGTCTGTCCTTAGTATGCCTGGGGCAAGTCTATTTCCAGGTGCCAGAGCACCTCCATGTCGCAGATCCCTAGCTTTAGATTTTGCCAAACCTCAGGTAGGAAAGGCTTGAAAACAAGACAAAACAAAACATCTGCCTTGGACACATACAGGCTTTTGCATCGTCATTCCCTGAGGAGTGCAGTGTAATGGCAGCTCACCAATACTCACACTGTGGCATGTGTTACAGTTACAGGAGGTGGGCACAGGGTCATGGGGAGGCTGTGTAATTCTGTGTAAAGTACTTGGCACTGGCAGCTTTTGGTACCTGTGGGGTTCTGTGGTGTCATTTCCTGTGATACCGAGGGACGGTTGTATGCAAAAAGACAAGGGACCCCAGGTGGGAAGAGGGGAAAGCCCCTGCATCCTGACACCTAGAAGGGTGCAAGGCCCGAAGTCCGCTGTGGCTGGGCTCTGGGTGCATCCTATGTGCTGGCTCTACAGCTGCATGGTGGTGGGGAGGCCTTAGAAAGGGTCGGTGCTGTGTGGAGTCAGTGCAGATGACAAAACTTATCCCGCAGGACCCTGTCATGCTCAGGGCTGAGGCTGTGACTACAGAGCTTCCTCTGATGTGGGAAGAGAGTGGCAGCCTGGGGCAGCATCGCCCATTAGAGTCTAACACCCTGCCCAGCAGCTCCCAACAGGAGGGAAGGCGTCAGCATAAACCACGTGTGGGAACAGGTTGGGCTCCAGGAAGCACCCTTGCATGCTGGCGTGGGGAGCTCTGGTTCCAGATGCCAGCCTGAGTGACCCAGGCCTGCTGTAGGAACCAGGTCACCCAGGGTCTTCTGGATGTTGCCACTCGACAGCTACTCACTGCTGTCTATGGGAAGACAGGACCAGAGTGTGTGCTGAATGCCCTTCCCTGCTGGGGCATAGTTTTGGCAACAGATGAGCCATTGTCCTGAAGTCTTCTCGCACAGTGCTGTGGAACCTTTGTGTCCCCACCATACTGGGAACCTCCCCTCCCCAACTCCACCTATCCTGTTGGTTTTGTGTTCTGATGACCACCCTCAGTGTGGCATGGACATGTCCCATGCTCACTGCCAACACTGTCACCCTGGTCAGACCCTGTCCTGCTATCTTGTCACCTCTCTGTCCTCCCTTGCAGGGTATGCACTAACAGTGGAGGCACCAAAGGACTCAGGAGTAGAAGCAGGACATGTGCACTTAGGAGCCCAGGGGCCCCGGCACAAGCTGGGGCTCAGATGCTGTTGTTCTCTGCTTCCTGCCTATCTAGGCCAAGGGGCTCACAGCAGGAGCCCAGACTGGTTAGCTTCTGGGCCAGTGACCTCGTGCAGCTTCCTGCTGTGTCAGGATCCAGGACACTGTGGAAATGTATGATCTCACCTCCTTAGAGGCGACAGTTCAAAGAGAAAAGGTGGTAGCATGTTAGCTGATGACTGCTAGAAATCTAAGCAAAAATTTCGAGTAGCACTGGCCCAAAATACAAGAGTTGGGGCCAGGTGTGGTGTTGCCCACCCATAACCTAGCATTCTGGGAGGCCGAGCCAGAGAGCCCAAGTTCAAGCTCAGAATGGGGAGTTTAGCATCTTAGTGAGATCCTGTCTCTAAATAAAAAATAAAAAAGGGCTTGGGATGTAGCTCAGTGCAAGGGTCCGGGTTCTGTGCAGATATTAAAACATACAGAAGTTACAAGAGCTTGTGTCCTTGTCCAGCAACTTACCCTGGCCTTTACCTAGTCCCTACCTGGGAAGTGGGGCCACACAGTCGTTCCATTCTGATCTCTGCCAACCTGGAAGTTCCTCAGTATGCTTTGGGGGTGGGACCAGGGGTGCATTGTTTTTCCCATTTTTAATTTTTTTATTTTTATTGGCCCATGTTTTCAGTCTCTGATGATTCCATCCATTGTGGGACACACGTACACGACACATCTTAGTTCTTTTTGTCTCCCTATCCTCTCTTCCCCCCATCTCTCGGTCCCCTTTCCATCTGCAGGAGATCTGTCTCCCTGTGCCTTGTTATCTATCTTTTCCCATTTTAATGATGAAGAACCCAGGCTCAGGAACACCCAGGATCCCACAGTTGACAAGTGGCAGCTAAACCCAAGTTCTGCTCCTTGGAGTTCCGCGGTCTTCCCTCTAGAACATCTGGGTCAGGTTTCATCCGGTTTTAGATTTTCTTCTTCATTTCGTCTGTAGTCTTCTAGGTCTCTTGTTAGTAGCAAAAAGTGATCACCTTAAACAATGAGGATTCTTAATTCAGCAAAGGATAAGAAACACATGGGCTCATCTTTTCTCGCTCCTGCAGCCCCACGCATAGCAGCAAGAAGTAAAAAGATTTCAGCCCACAAAGAGGAGGACCGTGAGGGGACAGTAGTGGACAGGCAGCGGCTTTTCTCCTGGAGGGAAGGAGGAAGCGGGGCCAGCTTCGGACATGAGTGTTTTTGTGCATGGACACCCTGAAAGGGCCCAAGGAGACTGGGGGAGCTCTGCTCTGCAGCAGCCCTGGCCCTTCAGTGCCAAACCTCTACCATGTATGTTCAACTTTTTATTTTGAAATCCAGATTTAAAAGACATTTCAAAGCTACCACAGTACCACCCTGTTGTGTTTATGTCCTGCACAACTATACCATGTTAGCAAGACTAACATGGTTGGAGTTCCACCTCAGCGCAGTATGTGTGTGTGCCCAGCTTTGTGTCCTTTTGTCACATGTGTGGATTTGGATAACCACTGCTACCAGCAGGACACACTATTGCCCCATCTTCATGAGCATCTCCTCTCGTCTTCCCCTTGTGGTCTTCCCCTTGTGGTCATACCCTGCCTCTCCCATCCCTATATGTTTGTCTCTTTGGGACTTTCATGCTATGTGACCTGTGCATTTTTGGTTGGCATATTTTTGGTTTTTCTCTTAGTTGCTTTTATTGGATAATTCAGTTGTTCTCTTTTCTAGTTCACTGATTTGTTTTTCTCTTCTCCATTCTGCAATTGAGTCCATATACCATTTTAAAAAAATGTCAAGAGCTGGGGAGATAGCTCTGTGGCATAAATGCCTGCCTGGCAAGTGCAAGGTCTCAAGTTCAGTCTTCATTATTGAATGCTGTGCTGGCCTTGGAACCAGGCATGGTGGTGCATGCCTGTAATCCCAGCAGCAGGGAAGCTGAGACAGGAGGATTGATCACTACAAGTCCGAACTGTGTGGTGAGACCCTGTAACAAAAAGTTAAAAAAATAAATAAATTTAGAAGTCTACTGTAAAAATGTTGAATAATGTATTTTTCAGTTGTAAAATTTCCGTCTGTTCTATCCTTTCTTCTTTAGTTTCTAATTGTTCATAGAAGCTTTTTTTGGTTACCAGGGATTGAACTCAGGACCTTGTGCTTGCCAGGCAGGCCCTTATGCTGCAGAGCCATCTCCCCAGCAGCAGAGAAGCATTTTTAAGATGGCTTTCACATCTTGGTGTGGTGGTCACCAAGGTTGTGTTTTCTCTTGTTCTACTTGGGGGTTCCTGGTTCTCTGGGCACCACTGACTTTCAATGGAGACCCTTACAGTTTAGGTTTTACCCTGTAAGGCTCTGGGTCTCTAGCTCTAGCAGGCCTGTGATATGTGTGTGTTGGGGGGCAAGGCCAGCACCTGCGTATGTGGGGGTCCAAGGTCCCGTCAGCCCCAGCTAGCATGCTATAGTGAGGGCATCTCATCAGCCAAGACTGTGGAGTTCCAGTGCTCACTCTGCCCCTTCTGATGTCACCTGGTGAGGAGGATGGGAACTTGTTACTACTTCTATGTGGCCTTCTGTGACACTGAGGCTGAGATATGGCACTGCTGGGTGAAGTCCTGGCTCACTGGGCCCTGACGCTCCCAGGAGCAGGGGATTCCTCCTTCCCCCTGGTGATGCCTGTGTCTTCACAGGAAGGTGGTGTGTGAGTGTGGCTACACCCGTGAGCAGCACCTGGAGGAGGCCACCAAGCCTCATGCCTTCCAGGGCAAGGAGTGGGACCCAAAGAAGCATGTCCAGGAGATGCCAACGGATGCCTTCGGCGACATCGTCTTTTCGGGCCTTGGCCAAAAAGTGGGAAAGGTTGGTTCCTTTGTGCCATAGTCTCCATGGAGGCAGGAGCTGGGGTGGTCCTTGGTAGATTTCCTGGGGGTGGCTGGTGGTAGCTAGCTACACGGGCCCCAGCCAAGCTAAGGATGGAGTGGGTGATGTGACCTCAGGCTCCTGCTGTCTGTGGAGTGGAATTGGGATTCATGGAGCTTCCCAGGGCGTGTGGCTGGGGTGTGAGTGGGCTCTGGCAGTGAGCAGCTTCCTAAACATCTGATGCTGCTCCTGCCCACTGTCCTGTGGGGAGGGGGCACCAGTGTCACTTATTTTCCTGCTGGCTTCTGGAGCCTCTGAGCCTCTGACTTACTCTGTGTGGCTATTCCTTCAACTCCTTTGCATCCCTCAAAGTGATGTCCACTTGACCGAAGAAATCAAGCAAGGCCTTTTGGGGTATGGGGCCATGCAGCCCCAGACCCCCAGCCTCCCATGATCATGTATGAGTGTCCCACCCCTAGGTCATCTGTCTTTACATTTACCAGGCAGGCAGTTTCACTGATCATGCAGGATGAGGGTCTCCTTACTCGGTGAAGGGTATGGAATCCAGGTGGGACCCCCGCCCAGGCTCTTCCCACTGCCTCAGCCCCCTCCATGTGCTGCCACAGGGACAGTTTCTGCCTTTGCCTTCCTGTTGTGGTGCTTTAGCACCATGGTGCATGACAAATCCAGACCCAGAGCCTAGTATGCAGCCTGACCTCATCCTGTCACAGCATGTGTGTCCCTACGAGGTGGATCCTTAGCTTCTCTTCTTCTGGGGATCATAAGGGCGCCCCACAGGGAAGGGCCTTCCCTGATATCTGCCTGGCCCACAGGGCCAACTGCTCTGAGGGCTGACAGGCAGCAGCCCTGGTGGACCTGACTAGACCCTCACCAGCATAGTGAGGCCTGTCTGCTGGGGAATGCTTGTGGCCTCCTGGACCCTGCCATCTCCTTTCTGTTCTTCATAGCCTATCTTGGGGGACTCTGGCCAGGGATCTGGGAACCAAGGTAAAAGAAGTTTACTGTGGATTCCTAGGGTCTGTGGAGTTGGGGACCCCCAGCAGGAATGCTGAGGAGGGTGAGGCAGGATGAGAGGCAGAGGAGGCTGAACCAGGGACCCTGGGACCCAGGAGAGAGACATTCAATGCAACGCTGGGTGGTGTGGGCAGGAAGTGGGATCAGGACTTGGGGCACGCATGAAGCACCCTGAAGCAGGGGCCCAAGGAGAGTGAGGGGCATGGCCTCAGGATCCCCTTGCTGTCCCTGATTTTCATGCAGTATGTCCGAGTGTCCCAGGACACACCTTCCAGCATGATCTATCATCTCATGACCCAGCACTGGGGCCTGGATGTCCCCAACCTCCTCATCTCAGTGACTGGTGGGGCTAAGAACTTCAACATGAAGCTGAGGCTCAAAAGCATCTTCCGAAGAGGTCTGGTCAAGGTGGCCCAGACCACAGGTGGGTGCCAGGTACTGTCTGTAGGTGATGGGCACTGGTTGGACTGAATGGGTAAATCCAGGAGGTCAGGCTGTTGGGGCCAGAAGAGCCTTGGAGTAGCAGAGTCCATGCTGCAGCCTGGCTCAGAGCCCACACCTACCCTTTAGCTGCCTATGGCTCTTCCTGTGATGCCCACCTGCTGCTGAGCTAGCCCAAGGGCACAGAGCCTGCTCTGGCCTGAGCATCATAGTGGTTGTAAGGGCCAGTAGAAGCCACAGAAGGCTCGGCTGGCCTCTGAGACATCAGTGACTCAGTCATCTGAGCTCTCTGCACCAGGTCAGGAGGATATCATCTCTTCCCTGGTGTACTTGTCTCCTTAGTGCTAGATAACTTCTCAAGATCACACTTTGAGGGACAGCCAAGAAAGGGCCCAGTGCCACATGGGTGGTGTGAAATCCACAGCACCTGGCCACACTGGAGTTCAGGGAGGCTGCCGTCCTCGAGCTAATGGGGATCCCTTGGGGTAGCCTGGCAGGGTAGACATAGTCGCCCTCAGCTGGGTTGTGCAAGGCTGATGGCTCCTGTGAGCCTAGGTTATGAGGCCTTTCCTGAGCTCTGGCTTCGTGAAGTGTGTGGTGGCCTCCCCAGCCTGGCTGTGGAGAGTCTGGGTCACCTGTGGTGATCATACCAGGCCCTCTGTGGCACTGTGTCAGCTTGCCAGTCTCGTGTTTCTTGAGCTCTGTCCTCTCCTTTCATCTCTGTTCATGGAGGGACCAAATCTTTTCTCCACCTGGTCAGATAGGGCTTGGCTTAGGGCCAGTAAACCTTCCACCAGGCATGCTCACAGCCCTTGCATCTTCTTTGCCTCATCTTCAAACTGTGTGTTTTCCTTTCCTTCCCTCCCCTCCCTTCCCTCTTCCTCCCCTCTCCCTTCCCCTCCCGTTTTTCCCCTCCCCTCTCCCTTTTCCCCTTCCTTCCCCTTTCTTTGACCCCTTCCCTCCCTCCTTCCTTCCTTCTCTTTCTTCTTTTCTTTTCTTTCTTGAAACAGGCTTTTGTTATGTAGTTCAGGCCAGCCTTGGACTTATGGCTATCCTCCTGCCTCAGCTTCCTGAATGCTGGAATCAGGGGTGTGCAAGCCGCCACGCCTGGCTTGACACTGTGCCTTTTATACATTCACCACCAGTTTCTTTACTGCCTGCGTTCCCACCCAGTGCCACCGTGACACGTAGTTTCTTTTTTTTTTATGACAAGCACCCCTATTTTTTATCTTATCTTTCTCTTCTTCTTCTTCTTCTTCTTCTTCTTCTTCTTCTTCTTCTTCTTCTTCTTCTTCTTCTTCTTCTTCTTCTTCTTC